TACTCTTGGTAGCTTGCCGGGCTCTCCGAGAGGGGCGGAGGAATTGAACCCCGCTTGGCTGGGCCGGCTGTGTGCAAGGCAAACGCCCTAACACTGTGCTATCACTCCAGCCCTGCTGACCATCACAATGAGGTAATCTAGAGGGATTCCCGGGATTATGGCTATAAAAATCAGTTCTTCAGGGAAGCATATAAACCCTTTCTGGGTGATTCAAATGAGCTCTAGTGAGGTAAAGTGCAAAGAGGGCAACCCCCAATCTATACTTCCAAAGGATGTTCCCATGTGTGCCCAACCAGAGTTCTGTATTCCAGTCAAATAGGTCTCTTTCACAGAAAGATGAAGGATATATTTCAGTCTTTCATTTTGAGTTGTTCTGTGTGGGTGATAGTAAGTCAAAAAGTTGCTTTACATTTATTACAGTTCTTTGGAACAGAGGGATGCAAGCCACCAGATCAACTGATTTTTGTAGCCATAACCCTGGGAATCCCTCTATGTTACCTTACTGTGTTGGTCAACAGGTCCTTAGTATGTGTTCTTTCAAGACATATATATTTACAACTTTTAAAACTCTTGCATGAGGTTTGGGTGCCCAAAAGTCTGAATTAAAGTACTGACTGATATTCTTCCTTTGGGGACTTTGACTGGTCTTGGCACACCCTCTACTGAGAATCATTAAAAATAAAGCTGGTTATTTGAATAATCACCAAGTTTTGAGACCTAGAATTGCCTTGGGTGGATGACTTTCTGGGTTTGTAGGCGTAAAAACTGGGGCACCAATCATATGTAAATGCTCCTTTTTAGGAAATACTAATGCTCTGGATCGTGGTCGACAGTGGCTCTGGAGAGTGGTATTATGTTGCATGAACATTCTTTCGGTCAGAAGCCTGGAGATAGAACACACGAGAGGAATGTACAGAGCACGGCGACCAATTCTGGTTCGAGTCAAAGAGCAGCTGCCGGAGGCTTCCTTTTATTCTATATTTTATGTTACATCCTAATGACTTCATCACAGAGAAAGACTCACTCATGAGAGTACAAACAGTTGTAGGATGAGCATTCATCAAAGGAACATCAGGGTATACATTGTCTTGTCAAAGCTATGCTGTCAACGTTATGTTGTTATGATTAAAAACGTCAGAGGAAGATATGGGAGCTGGACACGTAGGCTTTACAGATTATTTCTCCCACATTCTTGTCGTTGGTTACACATAGGGCAAAGAGAAAGCACCTACTGATACTTGAAGCTCAATCCAGATTAAGGATGTGTAAGAGAGAGGGAAACTGTTGCCTCGTACTGCCAAGATAATGTATGACTAGACAGGTGTGTGAGAGCATGCTGTGCTTCTCCAGGTCATTGGACTCACAAGTTTTGCCCACTTAGTCGGAAGTGGGGCCTCAGTCCTGCTTCCTGCTTGCAGGGCAGCATCCAGAGGCTCATCCTAATGTCCTGGCTTAGCACCAAGAGTTTTGGCTTTAGGTGTGTGTTTCATTAGACGTCTACTTGAGACCACTATTATGAAGACAAACGAAGAGGATCTTTCACCGGGTGCTTCCGTAGCCATGGAGAAGGACGCTGGTGAGGAACTTTTCTCCTTTCATGATAGTCCAGTGAGTCCAGCTTTTGACCTCTTGCCCCATCAGGTCCAGGAAACCACTGAAACTCATGGGTGGACTTCCCCAAGGGAGAATGCCCCTCCTCTCATCTGGGAACCAGATGGCTGAGTTATACTGCCATATGTTTTCTTGTTACTAAATAGCAACCTTTCATTTCAGCATATAAAGGCCCCCTTAAAATTTCTTATAACAGCGGGCTGACAAGCTCCTTTGTCTCTTGCCTGGAAAAACGTTCTCTTCTTTGAGGACAACACTGATAAGAACTGGAGATGGCTGCGTGTGGCTCTATAGACAACTCTAAATACTTCAGGCACATATTATGTGGTCGTCGTTTGTATTCTTACTTCAAGACCTGAATGAAGGCTATTTACACATGGTTGCTGACTGCTCAAATGAAATTAGTGGCTACCATTCTCCACCAGAGTACCTGAAAGTCAACCGCAGTCTTGGACGCCGACTTTCAGGCTGCCACATTCACTTGAACCCACCTGAACCTAGACTGGAGACTGACTTGATTCTAAAGAGAGAAGATGCTCTGGGGAGCCAGGCTCTTCCAAAATTAGCCTAATCATAGAGGTGTGGCTCTCTTCCCATGACTCAGAATGTCAGGAAGTACCTTTCCCCTTCTCTGGCTTCCCACAGTGACCCTCCGCTTTCTTCACTCCCCAGTCCCTCCCACCTCAATCTGTCCCCACTTTCTGTGGCCTGTGAACCCGCGTTAATATATTCCTCTTTCTTAATTCCTAGTTCTATAATGGATTATTTAACGTTCAAAAGAAATTTAAGGGGAGCTCTATGATGGAGTTTGTATAATACAAGGCCTCCTAAAAGGCAGACACAGGACAAAGGGCCCTGTTCTCCTACTCCAGTGGCAGTGGTGAGAGCACAACTCTGTCCATTGCGAGTACCATCTGGGAGGCCTAGTTTAGGATTCACTGCTCAGACTGCCCATGCTGGCCTCTCATTTTCTCTTGAGCACGACCATGGATCAGTCCTTGAAGTAGGTGCTGGATTGCACAGGGTGGCTTGAATGGTTGCAGAAAATGCAATCTGGTTGCTACACAGGCTATCACAATTGTGATGAGTGTTATGAAAATAACGGTACTGGGCAACGTAACCAAGGCAAGGCACCTGAGAGGGGAATTGAGTTTATAAGGTCATAAAACTGCTGAGTGACTGAAGCCTTCCTGGGTTTGCTCCTGTATCCCTGCTCGTTTCCCACCACACCACCCAGCCAGCCCAGGATTCTGGAAACCCTCTGGCAGCTCTAAGATCCCTTTCAATGAACACATGTTTAAAAACCAGAAAGAGTCGGTGTTCTTGGGCTGTTTCCATCCCATTTCTTGGTCAGCTCAAATGGGAAAAGTTCCCAGAACACCCACCACACCTCCACCCCTCTAGCAGCTGCTCATCCAACTGCTTCCACATGGGAGCTGGAGAAATCAAAGGAATTTGAAGCCAGCAGGTTGCACTGACCAGCCCAGAACAGCTGGTACCAATTCTGTAGAAGCAGAGCAGAGCACTCTGCAATTCAGGGATCCCCAAAATCCCACAATGATTTTGCTTATTCCTTCTCAGTCTCTGGATAGTCACTCTGTTCTTGCAGTGTGCCCGGGTCAGCAGTGGGCTTGGTGATGCAGGACGGACTTCACTTCCCCTCCCTTCCATCCAGACCTATTCTCAGTGGGCAGGCTGGGCTGGATTCTGCAGCGCAGAGTACATACATCTGTTCATGCCAGTAGGAGCACTTTCGTGGAAGGGCACTGTGATTCTAGACAAGATCACCATGGTCAGATTCACGTTTTCTTGGGAGACTGTAAAAATTTCTGTTCACTGGAACAGAAGCATCTGTTCCTCCCAGTGGTTTAACACCCTGGCTTCTGGCCACCTGGTGAGTTCCTTACACCATCAAAGGAAGACTAGGAAGTGGAGGTACAAAAGCTCTCTGTGGAAAACATTCAAGAAGGTGCAGCATTCCACAAAAAATCCCCCTCAGTATGAGAGTGTCCCTGCGGAATAATGAGCTTCCTCAGAAACAGCCCGCTGAAACAGGCACAGCTTTGAAAAAAAGTGAAAGCGGCTGAAGGCTCTCCTTCAAAGAATCCAGAAAGATTGCCGCGTCAGAGGAGCTTTAAATGACCAGCCAGGTTCAGCTTGCTTGGAACTGTCTTAACAACCTGCTTATTTCCTCTCCCTTACCCTTCTGCCACAGACCTAAAGGGTGGAGGAGAAAGGAGGAAACAGAGCACCCTCTTTTTAGAAGGCAGGTGAATGTTTACCAGGCACTAGTAAGAAACAGGAAGTGTAAGATGAATACTTAAGCATTAAGAAACCAGAAGGTCTTCAGATTTCTGAATTGAGATGGTTTTGAGAGTTTAAGCATTCTGAAAAAAGTGCTAAAGATTGTTGAGGCTTTCATCTAGTAGAAGGGGCTTTCCGTGCGGGACAAATTAAATGTGTAGGTGTTTTAATAACATTTCATGGGGGTCAACTAATTTAATATCACATTTAGCAATTCATTCACTACTAGGTACAGATCAGGTAATCTTTACCCATTCTTATGGTATCACTAACTTAAGACAAAACTTTAAACATCAAAGTAACAATAGGTCAGAGAAAGGAGTTTGCAGGTGTCTTGACTATCTATTTGGCCTAACTAGAATTTCTGGGGGCAGATATACAGGACTGAAAAAAAGTTGCTGTCTAACTGCTAAAAGAGGTAATCTTTCAACTTGGATCATAATTTGACAAAATGAAATGTCCTAAAGTGATTTACAACTCCAGTATTGAGAGATAGTCTGTCATTTTTCTTTTTTTGTTTTTTCTGTCTTCTGGGCCACACCTGGTGGTGCTCAGGGCTTACTCCTGGCTCTGTGCTTGAGATTACTCCTAGTGGAGCTTGGAGGACTATGTAGGAAGCCAAGGATCAAACCCAAGGCAAGTGCCCTATCTGCTGTACTATTGCTCTGACCCCCTCAAGAATCTTTAATCAAATACTGAACAAGTTTCAATGAAATTTCCTAAAACCATTTTAACTGATGTATCAGGATTTGTAATACTGTTATACTTTTCATGCAGACATCATCCCAGCACCACACCCATCACCAGAGTGCAGCTTCCCTCCACCAGTGCTGTCCAAGGCTCCTCCCAGCCACCCCCCATCCTATGTAAATTCATTTTTATAGACAAAATCTCTAGTTCTGATGACTCAGGCCAATTGTTTCCCCCTTATTATGTGTTTTTATATCCCACATATGAGAGTTTATTTACTTATTTATGCTGTGGAGGTGGTGATGCCTACACACATAGATGATTCAAGTTACACTGGGGGGAGACTTTATAGTGAAATCTGAAACTACCAATGTTAAGGATGACAGACAACAATAAATTTTGCAATCAAAAATTTAATAACAAAGATACTATTTTTAACATGGTCAAATATTCTTGGCTAAGTCCAGATTTTAAAAAAACAAAAGTATCTAGCCCAACAGTACGACCATACAGCTTTGTACAGAACATTCCATAGATTGACAGAAAATACATTTGAGCACAAAAATAAAAAATATTTAAAGAGAATCTCTAAGCAGCATCTTATTTCTGCAAAACAGACATATATCTTGTACTGATTAAATATCTACAAGTGCTTTTCCTTTACAAAAATACATATACTCTTAATAGACTAAGTCATTAACAATGACCTGGTAATTCTTTCACTTCAATTTGAATGATTTATAAGCTAAATCTTACAACCACAAAAAGGTTTTTATTTGTAGTAAGATGTTACCACTTTGACAAAAAAAGCTGAAAACATTTTATATTTCAAAGGAAAATGAGCAACATAACTGTACAATATATTTGATTATGGTTTTATTTAATGTGAGGGATAATCTATTAAAAGCTGATGTTTGCCACTGGGTTGCCAGATGCAGGAATGAAGCAGAACACTGGTGTCCACCCCCCCCCACCCCAAACTCTCGTTATGGACCACAGCTTCATAAGGACACTTAGGCCCCCATCCCATCCTAAAACACACAAGAAAGAAAACCTATCCCAAACAATATCAGGCTGATCTCATTGTATTTTATTATTTAGGATCCAGGTTCCAGTGAACTGATGTGAAGTATGGATAATGTGTTTACTATCTCTACACTGTCCAGAATATTTAATCTTTATTTGCACTAGATGATTCATCTTTCATGAAGCTCTGAAAGCTAGGCCTTGCATTTTTCTCTCTCACAGCTGATTCTAGATTTAAAAACAATTAATTTCTGAAAACTGTCTCCTCTCAATACTAGAAAAGGGTGTCGAGAGTATACAGACAATTTTAGTGAGCATTTAAAATAAATTAATTTGAAGTTTAATTCCTTAGTTTCCTAAAAAGAAAGTGCTCAATCTTTTCATTCTATTTAGAAATACAGCAAGGATATCAAGTAAACACACTATTTGTGTAAACTACATTAGACTAGAAAGAGAATCACTTTTAAGTGACTGAAAAATGACACTGCTTTCAGTAAGAGAATTATGCATATTTAATTTTTATGCATATAAACCCTGAAATGCATATTAAAGTACATTTTAATGAGCTTTCGGTCTGTTGTTTTTTCATCAAAAATCCTCTGAATTAAGTTTATCAAGTAAATCCAGAAACAGCTGGTTAATTTGTGCTTTGAAAGAATTTCTAAGTTTCTAGCATAGTAATATTTTATGTTTAACAGATATGCTATGCTTCTTATAGTAGAGATATTCATCCTGGTAATATTTTATATTTCTGTATTCCTAACCCAGAAAATTAAAGTCATGGCAAAATCATTTTTACAATGTTTACAAGTAGCCAACATCTTACTGGCATAAAGCAGTCGTGTTGGTAAATTTCTTATGATAAACCAGAATGTGTAATGGTGCATCAATTTTCATCCTAATCAAGAAAGTTTACTTGGGGGCCTCTCCCCAAAAGTTCACAGTGAGCTCTGCCTGTCGGGTGGTCCATAGCATGTGCTCCCAAGAAGAAATAGGTTAGGAGAAGGTTTAAAACTCTCTTGATAGGTGTTCTAAGAACATCTGCTAAATCTGGCTGTCTGACTAAATTTTAATAACAAAGTAACAGTTGAGAAATAAGACAGGTACTTTAAAAAAAACAACACAGGCTCTATGTAAATTTTGCTTTGAAATACAAGAAAAAAAGAAAGCGCTTTTTATGTAACTCCAACAGAATGTATGATTTTCTATACAAAGTAAGCACATTGCACTTTTACTAAATCTGTCTTAAATGAATTTCACAAACCACTAAGAACCAAGGAACTAAATAGGCATAATTTTAGTTTAATCTTTCTCTATGGAAGAAGTATTCTCAGTTAAGAATTTAAAATTCCCATTGTTTTCTTTTCCAGGTTTGTATTTACTCTACACCTTTACCCAGAGACTTTTCATGGTTTCTTTTGAGAAAATCCTACAATTGGTCAGATGTTAGTAAAAAAACTAATGAACATATTTAAGAGGAAGTATATTTTGGTCATTAAGAAAAATCTAAAGTGGATTGATCTCTCCATAAAAATCCAGTTAAAGCCTTTCTTTGGTGACACTTTAGCCGTTAATCTAGGTTATTGCCTAACTGTATCAAATCAAATTGCAATGAAAATGTTGCCAACCTCCAAACTGTTAAAACTGTCTCTCCAAGATGTTATTAACAGTTAAATATCTTTGGTGATACCTATTTTCTTATGAAAATCTTAAGAAGTTTTCTTATGAAAAATCTTAAACACCTATTTAGATGTACAACCATTCCTAAGAGATTGGTGCAGATAACTTAAAATTTATGCAGCATCCAAACTGGAAATGCACTATCTTAATGAGGCACTTTCTCAAATTTTTCAATAAAGCTAAGCAGTTCAGAATATCATGTGATTCACTTGTTCTTAAAGATCCAGTTAAATTTAGATTACATTTGAGTGTATAATATAGCTGAGCAAATGCATTACATTTATAAAATGTGGCCCAGTAGTATGTGATAGATTTTCAATGATTTAAAAAAAAATAACACACTATTCCATAAGTAGTGAATAGACATGACATAAAGTAAATGCACCCAGATTGATGACCCTGTATTACTCATTAATGGGCCTTTCTGTTTAGTTTTTGAAAGTATTTTGTTAATCTAAGGAAAAGATCACATTATGAAATCTCTGTTCACTTATGATGATTATATATTACTTCAACTTAAGTGCCTATAACCATAGACCTATTTACACCCAAAGTTCCTCGACCCTTTTGTATCTATGACAGCTAAGGCAGAGCATTATAAGATCTTTTAAGGGAAGTTCTTTCTGTTTATTGCTGAAGAAGCAAAAGATTAAAGAAAATTTTAACTGAATTTTATTCTGAATTTTCAAATTCAGATGATGATTTCTATAGGTTATTTATATAAAGAACATTTTATTAGAAACCTAAATTTATAAAGCTAGTCACAAAGGTCACCAGTTAATGTTTTTCTGTACCTGGTTTCTTGCAAACCTGACTGAGGGAAATATTAACTGGAAATTTAATGTATTAAGACACAAAAATAGTCCCATACTTACAAAATCATAGGTGAATATACCCAAAGAGGTCAGTCTAAGAAGTCTGTGGTTCTAACAGTAATACGTTATTACACAGGACTATAATAAAAACGTGTACCTTTTCCCAAATGACAACTGATACTCTTCTATATTTAAAGGGTTCGTGTTTTGGCACATATTCCATTGTATTTCAATAAAAATGTTAACATATTGACACTGAAGAAAATTTATCTATAACTATTCTCAATTCCCTAATTGCTTCTTATGCCATTTCTGTGAAAATAGTGAAATTACATCTACGAATGCAATTGATCAAATTTAACAAAATGCTGTATATAAAACTCCTTTAAGGCTCTTAAGTTTTGGCTGGGGACCCCAAAACATTTAGGTTTCATTTGTGGTATATATAAAAAACACTCTCAATTCATTTTAAATGAGAAAATTAAAATACACATGAAAATCAATAGGTGTGACAAATTTATAATGAATTAAAAAAATTCAAATTCTTAGGGATATCAGAAAATTGGACTTTTAAAAAACAGCAAAATAATTTCTGTGTGCCTAGAGAGTAAATTCAGTTTTGGATTGTAAATGGTCTGTTTCAACCATTTAAAGAATTAGAAACCTAATTGTCTTTTAAAATTCTGCGAGTCCTTCTAAGAACAAATATAGTCTAACTAAACAACATTAAGCACTGCCACAAAAATCAGAATGAGCAAACTTTATTATAAACTTTAGACTTGAAACATATATGGGGAAGATAATTATGAAGCTTCAATCTTTTATATTGTGAAGTGCATCAAGATTTAGCTGTATTTTGTGAGCCCCCCCTTTTATTTTTAGTTTTATGGTGTTTTATTCTTAAGAAACATCTGGACATTTAGAAGGCAACAATTTGTGATATATTTTATTGGAAAATATAGCACATTTACCATGTATGTAGTATAAAAACTATGTGCATAACACAGATTGTGCTCATGTCAGAGTTCTAAAATAAATCATTTTCCTAACTTTCAAGACAGTTAAAGTTTCAGATGGTATTTGAAGAAGTTAATAAAAATTAATTTCTAAAGACTGATGACAAAAGTAAATTTTAAAAGGTTTAAAAGGAAATTCTTCAGGTAACTCAGATAACTTAAGGTAAAGTGACTTTCTTTGACCTGTAGCCTATTCTCAAAAAGAATGGAAGACTTAACATAACTGCAAAATCAATGACATTATTTTAGTTCTGACTTTAATGAACTTGTGTTTAAAACAACAGTCTCACTTCCCTCGTTTACTATAGGATTTAAAATGGTTATCTTAAAACCATTACTTTTGGTTAGCATATTTATCTACTAAGTCTGCATTAATTTTATTTTATGTATATGGTTTGGACATGTGATAAGTAACAGTTTTAATCTACGATTGCTTTGAGCTTTTGAAATCCATAAAATAGTGCTATACGCCCTAAGAATCCTAATATTTAAAATCATCAAAACCCTCTGGCATGCCACAGTGACATATACCTAAGGCCAATGTAAAAAAAGAATATGCTCATTAAATAAGAGAAACACTAAATGATGCACACTATACAGTGACATTTCATGAAGCAGCACCTGCTTGTCATAAGGCATTATGAAAGATTAACCTTACATACACACTAATTTTGTTACATATGAACGTAATCAGCTGCCCACAATTTGAATGGTTGTGAATCTTACTTCAGTTCTCCAAGAAGTAACACATTTTCAATCCAGAGAGCTAACATGCCTTCCTTGTGGATCTGGTAGACTACACAGAGAGATGAATGGAAATGTCTACAATTATGTGTTCTAATGTTAAATAAAAAGTGGAATTCTTTCTAAAAGAACTTGAACACACAAAAGCACACTGTTTTGTACACATACACACACAATCTCTCTCTCTCACACACACACACGCACACACACATACACAGACACACTTACTGAGAATAGGATAGTGGCTCCAAAACCACTTTTCTAAATAAATTTTCCATATAAAATAATTTCAGATATAATAATTAGCTTCATGTACAGTACTCTATTTAAAAAAAGAATAAAATAGCATGTGAAAAATGCAACACCACAAAGATTGAGCCATATTACTAGTGTAATCAAACATTAGAACAACCTTAGAACAGGCAAGCAAAATATTCAGATGGCCGAATCATGGCCACACAGCTGACTGGTTTTAACTATGACTTGTATATTCTGAGACAATACAAATACCTTATGTAGATGGTTCAGTAGCAGAATGGCACTTGGTTTGCTCTTAATAGAAACAACATAAATGAAACTGACAAATTAAGAGACAGACAATGGCCTTATTTGCATGCTGAAAATCTGGTTGTGTCCCACTAGTCCACATACAGGTTCCCTGTGCAATCTGTTGAGTAAACAAATAGTGCAGGATTCATCTCAGTGGGCTCTAGGCCCCGGGGTCTAACCGAAATCAATTCTTGGTCGATACTGCAATACCATGGGGTATGACTATAAAACAAAAACATACGGTCAGTAAAAACTATACCAGAACAGTATCATTCACATACAAAATATTTTAAGAACACGTGCTTTAGACTCCTAGTAGTAGTGATAACGACAGCAATGATTATAATTCTCATGGATTTTCAACTTCGACTTTTCTAAAATCAGCCAAGTTTTACATAACATGCAACGAAGGTCTAATATAAAGGCATAGAGATGCTGCACTGATCACATATGTGAGTAGTCTAGTACTCACGTAACAAAGAGGGGTACAACCCCTGGTTAAAGGCATCCAATCACCAACCCCTGTGTGGCTAAAGAATGCAAGTCCACAGTCTAGATTTTGCCAGTCACTGTTTGTGAGAGACCAACGACACACAAGGAAACAAAGAATTCTCTACTCTGAATCTGGGAAACCAAGGTTAATCTGACACACTTTTTTATAATTTAAAATTTAAAGGATCTTTCAAAATGAACAACTGTTACTGAAACATTTAGGCTACTATCTCCTTTCAATGAATTGAGACTACTGAATATTAGGACCTGAATATTTCACAGTTAGATGGTTCATGTTATTCTTCATGCTGCTCCAGTCATGTAGAAAAGGCGTCATACAACAACATATAATACTTGAGAGAAAAGTTTCATGGAAAAGAGGCATAAGCTACACTATTTCTGTGTCTGTTTTTACCCTCTGTTTTATACAGTATATCATATAAACCCAAATATCACAAAATCAAAGGGCCTATAGAGCCAATGGTTTTGCTACTGTCTCTCTTCATTGTTGGTGAATGGAAACATTTAATACATAGAACTGTGTCTTTCCTGCAATGGAAAAAGTGAGATCTAAAAGTCTCAAAGCCCACAAATAATCTACTCTTGTCACAGCTGGATTACATCTTGAAAACTTTCTTGGAGTCTTTTACCTCTGCGCTCAGTGTGAGACTAGAAGAAAGAAATGGAAATTGCTACATCTTCGTCTTCCTAACAGTGAGGTTACTACCAACATTAAGAGAAAGTCTTGGTATTTGAGTTTCCATGGTCTAAATCTGTTTTGGTTTTCATTTTACTTGTTTCAGCTAAATCACAGCATCTGGGAGTGAGGCACAGAAATTTTCATTTTTCATAGCTCTCTAGGTTTCCTAAAGCATGGTCAGATAAGACAACTACCACGTAAACATCCTGCCTTAACTTTACTGATTTCTATTCTACCATTTTCAGACAACATCTCGCTCTCTACTAACAATAATCTTTCTAGCTCTGCATCTATTCTTGACACTGCTGAATTTGTACATTTTCTGGAAATAGGTGACTTTTTTAATAGAAATGTACAGTGTTTTAGAATACATTTTTGGTATACAAAAGCACTGTAGCACTGTAGTAGCACTGTCCTCTCATTGTTCATCAGTTGGCTCGAGTGGGTACCAGTAACGTCTCCATTGTGAGACTTGTTACTGTGTTTTGGCATGTCATAAACGTCACGGGTAGCTTGCCAGGCTCTGCGGTGTGGGTGGGATACTCTCGGTAGCTTGCTGGGCTCTCTGAGAGGAATGGAGGAATTGAACCCGGGTCAGCCGCATGCAAGGCAAATGCCCTACCCACTGTGCTATTGCTCCAGCCCCATACAAAAGCATCCATCACTAACTCTACTAGGTTGAAATTTGAGAAGGGAGAAAAATAGTTTACTAGTCACTGGTTGGAATTTTCTAGTTTTGGAAAATAGTTTTATTTTCCCCTGCAAACAAGCCTTGCATTTTTGCCCTATGTTAACAGGAAAATGAAACAATTTCATTAACATGTATTAAAATACTGGAAATTGTTAAGATAAACTTGAAGTTCCTATGTGTTGGTCCGCTTTGTGAAGTAAAATGGCATCACATTTACTATAATGAAATATGGCATTTCACTGTCTCTTTATGTTACATAACAGTATGAAGTAGCCTAAGTTTTGTAGAGTTGCTAAGTTTTCAATCTCACCAAGTATCATAATAAAGAATAGATACTTTCAAATAACATATTTCAAATGTGATAGCTTTAAAAATAATACGACTAAATCTGACATCCCATTTATCTTAAAAAAATAAATTCTTTATCATAAAGTTGCTTTCAGCAAATCGATGAACAACGGGAGGACAGTGGTACAGTGCTACAGTTAAAAAGTTGCTTTCACTGTTTGGAAATATAAAAAAGTCCCTGGGGTAAAAAAAAAGAAAAAATTATTTAAATTCTAACAAATTATCCCAAAACATTTTAAAGTACATTGTAGTTTCAATGTACATTCTGTAGTCTAAAGTGTACACTTTTTTCAAATCTGGAAATCATATTCACATGTTGTTTGGCAAATAACTTTGTCCATTAAAAGTGTCATGAATATTTCTACACAAGGTTATTCTATGTGATCATTTTATTAATTATATGTTTAGTTTGGGGGCCACACTTGACAGAACGCAGGGCTCATATCTGGCTCTGTGCTCAGCGATTGCTCCTGGTGGTGCTGGGGCCTGAAAGCATTACCACAATTCTATCTCTCTGGTCTGTGTAGCCATTTTCTAAAGCCTGCATAAAATGCCTTATAGATATGAATTACAATCAATAAATCTTTTTTGGCTGGACATCTTAGTTTATTCTATTGTTTTTCTTATTATAAATTAGTCTTGACCTAAACCTAATCTATGTACATCCTGCTCCTCATTCCTCACCTAAATCCCTCGGGTCAAAGAAGTAGAACTGCTGACTCAAGCAAAATACTTGTTTTAAAAGAAGGTTTTACAGCATTGCAACCCACAGTGCCCAAAAGGAAAATGAGACGGGGGAGGTGGGGAGAGGGGAGAGAGAGAGGGAGAGAGAGACAGAGAGACAGAAAGAGAGAGAGTCAGAGAGAGAGAGAGAGAAAGGGGGGGGGGAATCTATGTAACTGTGTATCTATCTCAGTGATTCAATAATAAAAAAAAGAAAAAGTTCAGATAAATAATCATACTGGGCTTCAAGAAAGCAGTCCCATTTTTACAGTTCAGACAAAAAACACAAATGTTCATTCTTCCACAGTCTTATCAATCTTTAGATCGTTTTCTACCCTTAATTTGGCATTATAGAAAACAGTATTTTACTTTTTCATTTCTTCACTTTTAAATAAGGTCATAATTCTATATTCTTATTAGCATATTTTATTGTTTTGTAAAATGTCTTTTGTTCATTTTATATGAAAAAGTGAACTTTGTCTTTAACATGAATTTATTATGTATTAATGGCTTTCTGCTGTATGTTAAAAGTATTTCCTTAGTTATAGTGTTTGTATTTTTCCCAATTTTCAACTCATTTTTCTTTTATATGTACAATAGGGTCATTTCCACTCTGAGATTCCCGAACTAAATATATTTCCTTCTTATTTTTAAATGGTTATATTTATCATTTACCACTTTAAGGATTGAGGAAGTACACGTACTTCGAGATTTGGATGGAATCACAAGCCTCACCCCCACCAGTAGTCTCAGTATAATGCACTGAAAAGCAAGCCCCACCAATCCATTTCTCACCTACAAGATGTCTGCCCGCAAGTTCATGGGCCACCGCTAGTCCTCAGTCTTCACTCAGCCTCACTGTCACTGTCACTGTCACTGTCCTCCCATTGTTCATCGATTTGCTCGAGCGGTCCAGTAACATCTCCATTGGAGACTTTGTTGTTACCTGTGTTTGGCATCTCGCCCGCACGGCAGAGCCTGGCAAGCTACCTGTGTTGTATTTATTCAATATGCCAAACTCAGCCTCACTGGCTCCTTGAAATCCTCAAACAACCACACATAACCTCAGGGTGTCTGCCTTCGGGTCTCCCTGGACTGGACTGTCTTATCCCAGATACTCATGTGATGATTTCTTCCACTACTTTTTGATAATAAAAATTACCTTAAATTAAGTGACTGTCCGGGCTGGAGCGATAGCACAGCGGTAGGGCGTTTGCCTTGCACGCAGCCAACATGGCCAACCCCAGTTCGATTCCTCCGCCCCTCTCGGAGAGCCCGGCGAGCTACCGAGAGTATCTCGCCCGCACGGCAGAGCCTGGCAAGCTCCCCGTGACGTATTCGATATGCCAAACACAGTAACAACAGAGGGCCTTTACCTTTTTTACCTTTAAGTGACTGTCCATTTTATCTAAAATATTTTTATTATTCTTTGAACACTCACATATAATTCTTATTCTTTTTTTTTTTAATCTGTTACCATTATCGGGGGCTGGAGAGATAGCACGGCAGGTAGGGCATTTGCCTTGCACGTGGCCGACCTGGGTTTGATTCCCAGCATCCCGTATGGTCCCCTGAGCATCGCCAGGAGTAATTCCTGAGTGCAGAGCCAGGAGTAACCCCTGTGCATTGCTGGGTGTGACCCAAAATGCAAAAAAAAAAAAAATCTGTTACCATTATGGGTATGAAGCTCTCAAAGGAAAAGAATATTTGGGGAGGTTTCTAAGCAGTGCTAGCGAGACCGAGGGTCATGCCTGGCTGTACTCGGTCAACTGGGCCAGATGGTTTAGTGCTAAGGGCCTCAGGCCTGGCAGTGCCAGGGTTACTAGAGCCGCACCTGGTTGTGCCAGGAAAAACATGCAGTGCTGGGGATCAAACTGAGCTCCTGCACATGCCAAGCATATACCCTGTCTCCTGTGCTATTTCCTCAGCCCTGGAAAAAAAAGTTGCTATATTTACTTCTGGGTTCCAGGGTTTAAGTGTGGGGCATGGCTTAGTGCTTAATGAATTATTTGTTAAATGAATCCTTTATTAATTTGAAATACTCTGTGAAAACTCATACACAATAGAGCCATTTTTCTGATTTGGAAGTCTACATTTAAGGTTGTACCATGCATATGTTTTCTTGGTGCGCCTCCCTAGTATGTTCAGGAGGTGCACAGGCCCTGCTTTTGAATCTCAGTCAACAGGGCCAGTGGCTCACCCCAAAGGCACAGTGTTTCTTGGGTCACGTGGTGTCCTACTCCAAATGACAGTGTTGGGAACTCAACTGGAATCAGATGAATGCATACTCCTACTAGGGCTCCAGTCCCTAGAATTATTTATTTTTTAAACCACACTTGGCTGTTTACTCCTGGCTCTGTGCTTAGGGACAACTCCTGGTGAGGCTCAGGGGACCACCTGGGATATTAGGGATCAGAATTGGATCATCCTGTGCAAGCAAAGTGTCCTCCCTGCTGTACTACCTCTCTTCAACCCTTTAGTATCAAAAATTTTGATTAGGCTTAAAATACATGTGGTGGTACAGAAGTGAGTCACAACTCCTTTAAAAATGTGACTGACCTCTAGAAGCACCTGGTTGTATTTCCTGGTGAACTTTAAAGCTACCTTAAATTTCATTAATTTAGAGGCCGGAGAGATAACACAAAGGGTTGAAGCACAATCTTGGCATGTGAAGGCCTAAATCCAGTCTCTGTCACCACACAGTTTCCTAAGCACTGCTGGGAGTCGCCCCAGGTCCCCTCAATTGTTTCTCTCTTTCAACAAACTTCATAATTTAATTATGGGGTGAAATTAATCTCTATAATACTTAATTGCTATTTAAATTTCTTGTGTGGGAGTAGTGTTTTGGTGAAATACCAGTATGACAATGACAAGATCTTTGATTTTAGGAAATACTTGGGAAAGAAGTTATTGGCCGACTGTTCTGATACTTTCAAATGACTATCAAAGAGTTTCACAAACAGACAACAGATCTATTTATAGAGAGAGTAAAAGAGTAAAAGAGGAAGACAGGGAAGGGGAAAGGGGCAAAAGAACGTAGTTCACTGGTAAATCTAAGTGAAAGTTACTGTCTGAGGAACGGAACTTCAGTTGGCCACGTGGAAGGCAAATGCCCCGCCTGCTCTACCATCTACCATGCACCCCCACTACCACACCATGTTTTTAGATCTTCCATGAGTTAATGATTTAGGGTCTTTTCCTTCTTGAATAAATTATGGCCCACTAATAATTTCCTAGAAAACTGTCCATTTCAGGAAGTGTTTAAAAACATAATAGCATAAAAATATGTATGTTTGTATGTTCATCTTTTCTTGTAGTAAAGTGATACTTTCCTTAAAATTTTCTAAGGGATTTTTGGCTAAAGGTACATCAAACTGAGACAAGTTTAAAGTCTTGAAGATAGAAAAAAAATTATGTGGATTTAAAAAAACTGGTCTTAATACAGTTGTCTTCCACTGCTTTAGAATAAAATGTAAAAATCTGTCTATATCTTAGGATATATGCATTATTGCCTACAGTAAAAGCAGAAAGTTATGTACGAATTAAAGCTAAAGAAGGGATATCATAATTCATCCTCAAAATCAGCTATGAAGCTAAATGCAACTGGAACACCTATACACATTTTTGATGTATACAAATCTAAACCTATCAGTTAAATGATTTCTCTATCCTTCACTCTGAACTGTTTAATGTGAAAATAAATTTTCCCACTAAACTATTTTCTCTTGATGTTAAATATACTTGTTAAATATGCTTACAACATTGCAAAACAAACCAAAAAAACCTCCAGAAATCAGTATTTTCTAAATTTATAGAAGGTATTTCAATTTTTACTAAACTTTTCTCAGATTCATGTTCAAGTTTTCTCAGTGTATTATGTTAGTTTGCTATAGTTTGTTACTAAAGGAGATGATTCGAGAGAAGTACTTAGGGCAGGGCCAAGTAAGCAAGCTAACAATTACCGTTAGCACTTGCTATTATGTTATTTCATTTTATCTTCTACTTGGGGGAGAAAGGTAGAAATATCTACTTAGAAAATGAAAGGAAGTACAGCTGAGATATTCAGTGGGGGCAGAGCTCCCCAAGGGCTGTTAATTATGAAAAGCTGGCAATTACTAAATTAGTAAGATGAAATTTTTTGTTGTTTTACTTTCGGGGTGCTCAGGGACTACTTCTAGAATGATCCTGAGGGTAGTTCCTAGATACAAGGGATAGGACCTGAGGCTCTCACATGCAAAGCATGCTCTACAGTTCTTTGAGCCACCTCTCAGGCTCCATAAAATTAAGTTTTATTTATTTTAAGGTTCAGAAAATAGGGCCTTAACAGTAATGATTTTTTTCATTTAGTAAAAGTCAATAGACAATTCATGGAGACTAAGGTAATGACAATTCTGGGGAAATGAATTGAGAAGATCAAATTTTATGGTTTAATTATATTCATTTTGCATAGGTATGCATCTTAGGAATTTGAATTTGGGATGGAAGCAGTCACCATTGTGGAGGGCCATCATTAGGGTCTTATGTACAGTCGTGAGTGCCTCTTACCTGATACAAAGGGCCATCCTGAGAGCAGACTTGCGAAGCTGAGCAGTTCAGACACCGAAACTGCGGAGGAGATGAACTCATCAGATAAGAGGCATCCACAACTGGACACATATTTAATACTAATTATTTAAAATATTTTAACGTCAAACATGAGTCAACATGGCTAATTTTCAGTAATACATTGTAAAATATGGTAGCTTTTTTTAAAAAAATAAACTATTTTAATAACTTAGTGAGTGGTCAGTTTAGCTTGAAATAATTTCAGATCTAAATATGATCATGTTAATATTCTGTAAACACTTGTCAAAATGGTGGCCTATACCTTCCCTCTCCTCTTTAATACTATTTCCAGCAAAAATCCTCACATCTGCTCCATTTGGTGGACATCGTTTCCTTAGCCACTGCTGCCATAATCTCTCCTGCATCTCTTCAACTACCCTGAATTTAATAATACTCAAGGGTCCCAGAGCTAAAAGTGAGGCATGAAACTTGACTCAATTAAATGGGGACCTTTTCTGCTTTATTCATTTGTTCTCACTAAAGAACCTCCAGAAAGTGCAACTGCATGCAGTAGCATCAGGGGTACTTTTTAAACCACTGGGTTTTCTTCCAGACCCTTTCACACTGGGAATTCCAAGTAGTAAAGCTCTGGGGATCACCTCAGTGTATATGAGCAGCACTGGGATTTGAACTCATGGCCTTGCACTTACTAGACAAGTGTTTTAAGCCATTGAGCCATTGTCTGAGTTACTGTTTCCTGCTTTAGATGGGTTCTTTATATTGCTCATATCAGATTCTCAGTTTTCAAATCTATTTTAATAGTACTGACTATGAGCTTCTTTAGTTTATATTGTAGTCATATTTGTGATCCCCTAAATGTCACACAGAAACCCCACATATAAATTTTTTTTAAGGTAAATCAAGGAGTAAATATACTTTAAATTGTTTTAGTAAGATTGTCATTCAAATTAAAATATAATTCCCAACTCTTGATTTTTCAGTATCATCTTAAACATGCAAAGACATTTTCATTGTAATGGGATTATAAAATAAATGTATTCTTAGTGTTATACATAAATTCAACACGGCATGCCTCTACAAAATGGAAAAAAGAAACATAAAATATGTAAGGTATGTAAACAAGAACAAACCTAACATTCCAGAATGGCTTTTCAAAGTATACCTTTTGAAAGAATAGTCAATATTAAAACAAACATATGGTAGCCTTTTAAATACAATCTTAGAAACTTTCTAGTATTTCATGCCCCAAAAAACTTTAGCAATTATCTCCCCAGATTTTATTCCCTGATTTTATTCTGTCCAGATTTTATTCTGTCCCTGATTTTATTCTGTCCAGTGCTCACTGGCATGCTTGCCCAGTATCGTATCCATGACAAAGTTCCCTTTCTCTGTTATGAGTCCCTAAGCTTTGGCCTAATCAGACTTAGCCTAACCATGCAATCCTAAAGGATTTAAGAAGACTAGAGAGTTATGAGGCTATTTCACCAAGTGATTAAAGTTTTCTACTTGTCCGATGGGGGTAGTCAAGATAGGCATTTCCATTTCCTAACATAAATTGATACAGCAAATAAAGAAAAGTAAGACAAACTGGATTGCTTAGTGCAATAACTTTTGGTACGAGTATAAGAGATGAGACCAAACAGCATCATCTGAGGGAGGGGCTCTACTTGAACAGACTCAAGTCAATCTACCCAAGAGAAGGTAAGCAGTAAGAATATGATTCCAAGATAAAAGCTGAGACTGAATAGAAAGGGATGTTGACAGTAAGCTTTTAAGGGATGAGAATGAATAAAAGAGATAATTATAATAAGAAAAGTTAACAAAAACAAGCTATTTAAAAAACAACTAAGCCCTTAATATCTATTATAACTAAATCCACAATATCTATTATATTAGACATTCTGATAAGTACTTTATTATATCATTAATTCTTACTAAATTTCCAAGATAAATATCTGTAACCAAATTTTAAGAATTAAAAAAAGTTCATCAAAACTAGGAAGCAGGTAAGAGATGGTCAAAACATAATAAAAGACAACACAGATACACAAGGTATTCCTAGACACTAAAATGAAAGAGATAAACATTGCCATGGGGATAAAACAGTAATTACTATGAAACAAAAGTTGGAAGAAAGACTGATAGTAAGCAGCGTTGGTGAGTATGTCAGAAAATGGGCACTCAGATGTTACTGGCATGATTATAAATTGCCAAAACTTTTCTGGAAGACATCATTAATGTAAAAAATTTCCCAGTAACACATATCAGATGTGGCCCTAAGGCCTTCCTGGCACTGCAGATCCTGAGCAGCACTCAGCCTCGGGTCATCGTCTGTTGGCTGAGACCTGCTGGTGGGGCCCTGGGACTCCTGAGCACCACTTGGGAGCACCTTCCATCCAATGCCATAAAAAAACAGTGAAACATGGAAAGGGGCTGAGAGTATCAGTTTGGGAAAGGAGTTTTCAGATACAGGAAGACAAAGTACCTACGGAGGAGATAATTTTGAAGCAAATTAAATGAGGGTAAAGCAGGCAAATTCGATATTTACTGGGGCAGAAAGAGTAAGCCTTGCCTGTCTGAAGAAATATAGAGATCAACAAGAGAAAGAGTCAACAGACTGCAAAGACAGCTGGGGATATTATGTGGGGGCCATTTCTATAGGTCCCGGAAAGCACTTTGGCCTTTTTCTTCAGTGGTAATGAGGTTTCCAAATGATGCTCGGGAGACCCAGGGTTCTCAACTAGCCGCACCAGCACATCAATTTAAGGGCCCAAGAATGTGGTGCTCTCCATGGTTTGGAGGCCGGTTTCACATGCTGGGGGAAAAGGCAGTTAGGACGGAGAGGGGACCACTAAGTGAGTGATGATCAGAGGGATCGCCCAGGTTGGGAGATGTGTGCTGAAAGTAGGCTAAGGACCAATCACAATGACCTTAGTATCTGTATCACAAATCACAATGCCCAAAATTAGAGAGTAAGAAGGACTTCAGTGTTATATTTCTTCAGTGTTATATTTCTTCAGCCTCAGGTCTGTGGCTTTAGTTAAATGATATTAGATGTTAATGGAGCACGTAAAGGAGCAATAAGTATTAAGTTGTTTTAAGAGGATCACTCTGGTTGGGTGAGGATGAGGGAGAAGCATGTAGTCAGGAGGCTCTTAGGAAATCCTGGATGAGAGTGACCACGACTTACATCTGAGTGATCCAAGTGAAGGTGGCAAGACAATAAACGAATTCTGACTTGGTATTCTTGTGGCAGTCATAGAATTTTATAGCACTGTGGCACTGTCCTGTTGACTCACTGTCCTGTTGTTCATCGATTCACCTGAGCAGGCCCAGTAATGTCTCCATTGCCTAAGTTACTGTGTTTGGCATATCAAATACACCACGGGTAGCTTTGGCTTTGCCATGCGGGTGGGATACTCTCAGTAGCTGGCCGGGCTCTTCGAAAGGAGCAGAGGAATTGAACCTGGCTTGGCCTCGCTGGCCTCGTGCAAGACAAATGCCCTACCAGTATCGCTCCAGCCCAGAATTTTATAATGATAGATAATAGAACTGCAGGGATTTTCTTCTTTATACAACTAGAAAAAGGAACTACTAACCCCCAAACTACTGAAATTGCAAAAGACTGGTAGCAAACCAGGCTTGGAGGAGGAGAATAAACAAAAAAATTTTCTAATGCTTAAAAAACAAAAGTATTGCACTACATGTAAAAAAAAAAAGGAATTTTTATTTTTTCCTATTTACTGGTCTACTTTGTTTCATCAAAATAAAATGTCATTAGTTATTGAGCCGTTTTTGGAAGCAATTTCTAGTAAGATATACCTAAATAACTAAGGCATTTAAAACTATTCAGAAGAGTATAATCAGAAACATAATTGGAGTAAAGATTGATTTAATTGATAGTTTATTAAGAACAATTTCTATGACACAAATCTTTCATGTTTTAAGATTAAGATTTAAATAATTGGGAATGTGTGGGCAACCTTTAGAAAAGAACCTTGAGAAGAACAAATAAAGCAATTAGCGACCCTGCAGTGGATGACCACTTACATTTCTTCAGTTTTAAGGCAAATATATTCATTAATGATAATTTCAAGCATTAATACTAAAATGCCCAAGGACTTATTTTTTTGCATGTAGCCGTCCAGTGATGCCAACACAATTTATTAAAGAGGCTTTCCTTACTCCACTTCACATTACTTGCACCTTTATCAAAGATTAGATGAGCATATGATTGAGGAGAGATGTCAGTGTATTCAACCCTGTTCCATTGGTCTGCAGTTCTGCCTTTGTTCCAGTACCATGCTGTTTTAATTATTACTGCTTTGTAGTACAGTTTGAAGTTCGGGAGGTTGATTCCTCCCATTTTCTTTTTCCCAAGAATTGCTTTAGCTATTCGTGGGGGCTTATTGTTCCATATAAATTTCAAGAGTGTTTGCTCCACTTCTTTGAAGAATGTCATGGGTATCCTTATAGGGATTGCATTGAATTTATACAATGCTTTCGGTAGTATTGCCATTTTGACAATGTTAAGTCTCCCGACCCATGAGCAGGGGATATCTTTCCATTTCCTCATGTCCTCTTTTATTTCCTGAAGTAGCGTTTTGTAGTTTTCTTTGTACAGGTCCTTTACTTCCTTAGTTAAGCTGATTCCTAGGTACTTGATTTTCTGGGGCACAATTGTGAATGGGATTGTTTTTTTCCATGTTGCTTTCTTCTCTCTCACTGTTTGCGTATAGGAAAGCCATGGACTTTTGGGTATTGATTTTATAACCTGCAACTTTACTACACGAGTCTATTGTTTCTAAGAGTTTTTTGGTGGAAGTTATTGGGTTCTCTAAGTAGAGTATCATATCATCTGCGAATAGTGAGAGCTTGATTTCTCCCTTTCCTACCTGAATGCCCTTACAGATGACTGGTTAAAGAAACTTTGGTACATCTACACAATGGAGTACTATGTAGCTCTTAGAAAAGATGAAGTCATGAAATTTACATACAAGTGGTACAATATGGAAAGTATCATGCTAAGCGAAATGAGTCAGAAAGAGAGGGATAGACATAGAAAGATTGCATTCATCTGGGGGATATAAAGTAACAAAGTATGAGATTAATACCCAAGAATAGCTGAGATCAGCACCAGGAGGATTACTCCATAACTTAGAGGCCAGCCGGGTATCCTAGAGGAAAGGGCTATTCAGATAGAGAAGGGAGCACCAAATAAAGGATGTTTGGAGGATCCTCCCAGGAGGGGAGATGCATGTCGAAAGTAGACTATGGACTGAACATGTTTGCCACTCAATGCCTCTTTTGCAGACCACAACACCCAAAAGGAGAGAGAGAACACAGGGGATTGCCCTGCCACAGAGACGGGGGGATGGGGGGATGGGGGTGGGAGGGATATTATCCATGGTGGTGGAAAATGGGCACTGGTGGAGGGATGGGTATCTGATCATTGTATAATTGAAACCAAAGCACAAAAAATTGTAAATCTACAACTTTAAAAAAAATAAAATAAAATAAAGGGAAAAAAAAAAAATAAAATGCCCAAGGACTATCAAAGCTAAAATTATATTCAATACAATTTTATTGTGCGTAATATCACAATATCAATTATAGTTGAGAATCAACTAGTTCTGTAATCTGCATTTAGTATCTGAAATGTTTTGATTGTAAGGATTAATCAGGGTGATGTATGCACTATTGAAAAAAAATTACAAAATGTCATAGGAGGCAGTGGTAATTTACCGAATTTACAAAGACAATTAGATAGAGTAATAAAAAAAGAGCCCCATAGGGGTTTAATAAGTTTTTAACGGCACACAACTAGTGAGCAGTATTAGAAATAAATTTTTCTTTCTTAGCCATGAAAATTCAATCTTACAAGAAATGCTTTACCTAAGTGGCACTGGAACAGATAAAGAAATTCTGATTTAAGACATTAGGTGTTTAATTTATTATATCACATGAAGACATTTATTCTGAAAAGAGCCAAAGATCCTACCCATTGAACAGCACAATTTTTAAAAAATGTTTCCAAACAGTTTCACAGATAGTTAGAACTTAAATGTATCTGTGAATCTCTACAACATGGCAACGTACTCTACAACATGGCAACATACTTTATATCTGGATTCTTTATACTATTCTAGTTACATTTCTAAAATATGTGGTTTTCATTAATTTCTATTTTTAATAAAACTCATAGAATAGAGATAAAAGTTATCCAGTTTCAATATGACATGCTATGTCCCAAATACCCCAGGATCTTAACGTCTGAAAAGTCCTTGAAAGTCACACAGTATAACCTTCCAGTCAATCTTAATGCTTGTTTATTCATGTAACAGATTATGAAGAAATCCCTGGTTGTTGTTATTCTTGTTTTTTAGTGTGCTACCAGACTTAAAACCTTAATCCCAATATTATCAATAACTTGCAGGAGAAGTAGCTGAACTTTCTAATTAACTCTAAATCAAAGATATAGTTCAACCTAGGAAATTCTCCTTCAGGGTTTTGGACTCTCTCAGAGGTTTCTATTTTTAATCTTGTTCTTTGTGTTGCGTATGATCTAGGAACTATCTAATTCTGTTATAGAAACCACTGAAAAATCACTTACCCTTCAATCTGATTTTATACTTTTGATACAAAGTAGGATCCTGAGAAAAAGATGATCTAAATTCTACACTTTCCTGTTCCTTCTATTACAATAAAAAAAATCTCATTGTTCACTATGTGTAGTCAGGGCAAAACTTGGTCTTCCTCTTTCGTACTAAGATCCACTTATATGCTGTTTTCTTTGTCTTGAGATCAATAGAGTTTTGAGCATACTTGGATATATTTTCAAACTTACCTTAATTATAACAAAACCACATTTAATATAGACTTAAATTTGCAGGGCCGGAGTGATAGTAAAGCAGGTAGATTTGGGTGGGCCAGAGTAATTGTACAGCAGGTATAGTACATTGTTTGCCTTACATGTGGCCGACCTGGGTTCTATCCCTTGCATTCATATGGTCCCCTGGGTACTGCCAGGAGTAATTCCTGAGTACGTAGCCAGAAGTTTCACCTGAGCCCAAAAACCAAGAAAAAAAAAAAAGAAAGGAAAAGACTTAAATTTGGGACTACTTGTCATATAAGGTGACTGGGAGAAAAAAAAAATAAGAGAAACCAGAATCTCCTTTTTTTCAACTCAGTTTTTTCTTATAGGTATTAATAGTTAAACGTAAGAAAAAAATTGTATACAATTATACACTTAAGTAAATATAAAAGCAATTTACATTTTCTCCTCTTAATCGCCATCTTGTCATGTAGATGAATTCCATAGTATGATCCTTCCCCATAATTTCACCATTGCACAGCACATCCAACTTTAAAAAGAATAAAGATCCATTAATGAAAGCAATTTTGAATTTTAAGCATTTGTACACTTTTACTTTCAAAAGATTCAAAGTTACAACAAAAGACTGCCTACTGAAAAGAATGCTAAATACTTTTACTAAAGTGCTGACCCATGACACTACAGTAATAATTCAAATATAGGTGATTCAAATATACACTTCCCATACGCCTATATCTAAAATACATACAGTTGTTAACACAATGTAATTTTTCTTCGTCCATTTCCCCATGTACATTTGAGGTTTTAGACTTTTCTGAGGGCCAGCAGTGGGGGTGAGGGGGGTTAACTTTTACTAAACAAAACTCTGCAGACGGCTCTTCTTCATCATAGCACCTTCGGCTTATAAATTAATTTCTCAGGATCCTCTGACAATCCCAAGGTGGAAGCGATTGTTTTTCTCTGAATTTGTATTTAAAGAGACAGTAAATGAATGAAGTAGAGACAATATTTATAGACCCCCTGAGGCCTAATTTTCAGTAATTACCTGTTGTCAACTGACAGAATTAGGCATGCCACCGGCTGTCTCCCCAGACCTGCAACCCCAAGTTTCTCTTTCTATTTGATTAGCACTTGCTGTTAATATTTAAGAGCCCCTTTTTCACCTTGCACGGAACTCATAAAAAGGTTATATACTTATTTATGTTATTTTTTCTCTAAGCAAATTATTTTCTAAATCTTTAAGGAGGCCATATGAAACTATGTCTATGAATTATTAAATCAATAAAGAATAATTAAAATGTTAATTTTAAGACTCTACAATTTGGGGCTGGAGTGATAGCACAGTGGGTAGGGCATTTTCCTTGCACGCGGCCGACCCGGGTTCAATTCCCAGCATCCCATATGGTCCCCTGAGCACCGCCAGGGGTAATTCCTGAGCGCAGAGCCAGGACAAACCCCTGTGCATTGCCAGGTGTGACCCAAAAAGAAAAAAAAAAAAGACTCTACAATTTAAAGACTCTACAACTTTTGCAGTTCTCCATTTATTGGGAAAAAACCCCCATAAATTCACATAAATTATGTGAAAAGGGAGAAGAATGCACTTGAAATAATTATTTGTCAAAAACGATTATAATTCCAATTGTATTAGACAAACTTTTAGCTAAAGTAACTGAATTTTTTAGTTATGGTAATATGGAATTGCTTTTCCAAAATGCTTTTCATATATCACTTTATTAATTTGGGAAGTGGGGCTTTGCAAGCAGCGTCCAAGGAGCCCACTGACAATTCTTCAGCAACGAGGCCAGCAGTTCAGTCAAGGGCTGGAGAACGCAGTGCGGCTCAGGCCCTGTGGTAGAGGGGTACCCTGGCCACTTCGGTGGTGCTGCAGGCCTCCAGGACTGAACTAGTGATGTACAGGGGACCATGTGTTGCTGGAAATCCAAGTCAGTCAGGCAGCCTGAGCACTGTAGTCTCTCTCTTGCCTAGATTATCTTTATGTTGTCCATATTATAAACACATGAGCAAAGAAGCCAAAGGAATTTATTCGGATAAAATTCATCATCAGGTACCAGCTGTCCTGAGAGAACTAGCAATACTGTTATAGAAGTTTCAATTGCCAGGCATTTCATTACATCACCCCTCTACACTGCTGGGCAGCAAGGTAAGAGGCCACCAGTTAATTGCTGTTAGGAAAAGGCCTTTGCATTGGGATAGGTAAGGAGAGGATGCTGTCTTTTCTTCTTCTCTTTTTCTATGAAGGAATATAGTATGTCCCAGCAGTAAGACCATGAGAGAAACCATTCACTTGGCTCTAACAACGTCCTGAGAATTAGAAAAAGTTGCTCAATAAGTCACACTAAAAGGAAATAAATCTGTGGAGATATTTTACAATTAAAGCATATAGTGAAAAACCAAGAAAGGGCAACAATTTCATTTTCTTTTTTTCAATGTTGCACCTATAATCTGTTGTCAGCATATTGTATTTTAATCAAGTATATTGGAACTCTGGTTCCCTTTCACAATGTTTTCCTTAAACAAATGTTGATTTCTCTGGGAATTTTTTGCTGTATATAGGATAAAACCACAGCAAAGATTAATCTTTAAAACTATTAGTCACCTGAGAAAAAATTTAAGTATGTTCAAAGGTTTATTGAAATATATAATACCTTTAAATGCTTGATCAGATCCTTTCATTTCTGCTATGACTACTCATGTGAATATTGTACAAATGCCCAAAAAGCTACATTATCTTTAAGTCTTTGTTTATAAAGGAAACTAGTGTTGGTCCTATAATCAGAACCAAAAGGGGAAGAAAAAGGAACTAATACAAGTTGTAAGACTGTCATCTGAGTATGTCAGGAATAACTGTCATGTTTCCTCATTATTTTAGAGCCTAGGATCATAATCTCTGAATACTGAACACATTAAAAGCTGTGCTATATCAACATCAGGATAATTTATCCCTCCAGTAAAGAACTCAGTGAATAAAATTTATATAGTTATAACTTAGTTCCAAGCAAGATCAATTATGCATATCATGGAACTAAAAGAATATTAGTCACCGAGTCTCTTTTGATAAAGACAACATTTTACATAATGAAAGAGTCTAGAGAGAATTGGGTAAAAATGGATCTCAAAGATCTCAAAGGAGGGGAAAAACACATTCTAAAGCATGTTGGAAATTGAAAATAAGAATTCATTTAGCTGCTCTATTTATTTTGAGAATACTAATGTAGTCTTTTACAACGTCCTCTAATTATAAAACACAAGTATATTACTATCATGGTCTAGTCAGGATGTTATCTTATATAAAATACAGATTACATAAATTATATTCTTAAACTTAAAACTATGGCTACAAAACCATTTCCATAAAAGCTAATTTAAATTTATTCTCAGTTAAATAGTTTTCTTGATGAATTTTACTTCAGATTAACACAATAACCAAGATTAGATTACTAACTTACCTCATAAGAACTTGGAAGTTTTAACTTCAAACTTAGAAATTTTTTAATAGTTCCCACAGTTACTCGTGTAGAACATCGGATGAATTTCTTCATTAAACCCTAGGAAAAGATTACTAATTAATAAATCTACCTTTTAATTAAACTATAGGTGTCATTTCTACTATCATTTTGAATATTTCAAATGATATTCTAAAAGTGTTTCTATGTACAGCTCTCTAGTTCTTGTTTAGAAAGGTTTTAGAAAAAGGTTTCTTTCTAATTGTTGTTCACTGAAATGACATTTTGTTTGTTTGTTTTTGGGCACACTTGTCAGTGCTCAGCGCATACTCCTAGCTCTGTAGTCAGGGATCCCTCATAATAGGGTTTGGGGGACCATATGAGGTATGGGGGACTGAACGTGGGTCAGGTGCAAGTACTATCTCTCCAGTCTCCAAGGCCCTTACATTTTTAAAGAAGGCACTGTGTCACGTGTATTAGAAAATGCTTGCATTTTCTAGACATTCTGGTAAAGCATGTACCAAAAATTTTACTGAAAACAAGATTCGCAAATAATGGATATTAAAAATCACTTCTCAAAGCATTAGCAGCATTGAAATGTCTCAAATTTTTAGCTATTTTTAAAAAGTACAGTAGTTTCAAAGAAGGCTCTAAGGAGCTCCTGGAATCGATAGAGAGGGGCCAATTAGACCACAAGATTCTGAGCAACAAGAAACCTTACAGTTTACAGACACAGTTTAGGAGGAAATACATGCAGCTAGTGTTGAGAGTCTCCGGCAGTGCTTTGCCAGGTATAAATACCTTGACTCGACTTCACTAATATAAATCTGCAATGTGAAATTACAATTTTAACCTTAAGCTTCTGTTTTAATTACTTTTGGCAACATATACAGAAATAAAGAGATTGTTGGGCTACAAGGTAGCTCTGATTTAATTTTTTTGAAGAATCTCCATAGTTCTCCATAAAGTCAAAGCATTTTACAATTTCAGCAGTGCACAAGGGTTCAATATCCCATCCTCACCGAAACAATATTTTGGTTTGATTTTGATAACAGCCCTCAAAATAGCTGCAAGTTTTGCAGTTTTGACACTAGTTTTTCTGACCAGTGATGCTGAGTATCTGTTCATATCTTTATTCATCATTTCCATATTGAAACTAAAAAATGTCTAACCCCTTCACCTTTTAATTGGATTATTTAATTTTTAAAGAGTCAATTAAATATTTTGCATTTTAAGCCCTTATTAAATATATGATTGCAAATATTTGTTCTGATTTTTCATTCTGTTGTGTTCTTTGATATGTGAAAATTCTTTCACCAGTTTTACATTCAGAGAGATACTGGCCTCAGAATGATCCAGGTATATACGGTTCCTCTATTTCTTTATCACTGTTTCATTTTGTTTTAAAATAGTAATTTTCTAGAGTTAAACCAATTTTTCTAGTGTTATCACTTCAATTGCTACATCATTTCTTTTAATATTTTTATAAGAACAGAGACAAAAAAAACTTTGGTAAAAAAACTTATTAAAAAAAAAACAACCAGAAACAGGTATTGCACCAGAACAAAAAAACTGAGATGCTTGGAAGTATAAACAGGTATTTTTATACTATTACATAGGAACTGCCTCTAGAAATATTATTATTACATGCCTTGTACAGCCAACCTCTCATATTACTGTAGTAAAACTAAGACCTAGCTAAAGTTCCTTGAATAAAGAAGTTTCCTCTTGCTACTTAAATTTTCAAGGTCTAATACCCACATAGCGAAAATTCACTAAATAACTCATAATTCGTTGTTGCATAATGCTAATCTGAGCTGACACTCTGATTTGAATTTTCTAATAGGAACATGCCAATGAAAGATTAGTGTTGTTTTTTCTTTAAATGAAACATACTAATTTACAGTTTACATAGAGGAAATAAAAGAAAAGAGATAGGTATCTGAATTAAACAAGAAATAAAAGAAACATTTTCAATAGATGACTTTTGCTAAGATGTGACAAAAATCTAAAAGCTAAAGTTGTTAAACATTTATAATGGCTGTTTGCAATAAACAGGTAGAAATCATTACTTAAATAACACAAATGAAAAGACCAAAGAAGATGAAGTAGGGTGTTTAAAATTTTCTAGTACAAGGATCCATTACAGAAAGGTTCAACTAGCAAACTTATGACTGTGAACAAGAAATGTTAAGAATACAGGAAATATCTAGGAACTCGGGAACTCTAGTTCACGGGCATTTAGTGACATAAAAAAATAAAAAAAGGTTTAGAGCAACTGCTGGACATGAAACTACTGGAGTCTGAGTTGGTTCCCATACTAAAGCGAGGACGCACTGGGTCTGAATTCCCAACAAAAGTATAAAAGGAGGAATAGAGAGAAAGAGGCGTGATTTTCTGTATATGCCACTAGATGGTGCAGTAGCCCAGGACGATTTGCTTGGGGGAGATGAAAACAAAGTTTCTGGGTAGGTAAGAATGGCAAAGAAGAGGATTCTGCTTATGTTCATAAAAACTCTGAAAGCAAGTATTAAAAATATTAGGTAAACTATCACAGATCTGCTATAAAATTATAACAAACAGCATCTGTCCACCTACCTTTACTACATTGTCTCCTGATTGTCCATTATTTCGTAGGCAATCTAGACAAATAGCAATCTGTGGGTCACTTCTGTGATAATCTTTGTCATCTTGATTTTCATCACCTTCTTCATCTGCTTTAGGTTTGTCCATTTTTGAAGTGTCATCTGTATTATTTAAAGAAAAATATGACTTAAACTTGATTTCAAAGTTATTAACAATGTTAATCGTCTGAACAGTAAACTTACATCAACTTACTTTAACAGTTATCGATTATAAATAGCCAACAATTTTTAATATCTTTTAAATCTTCCAAACAAAACAAAAGAAATTTTAAAAATCTGGGGGGATGGGTCACACTCAACAGTGCTGAGGGCTCACTCCTGCACTCAGGGATCACTTATGGGAGTAAGAAGGAGGGGCAGGGCTCAGAGAATCATATGGATTGCTAGGGGTCAAACCTGGGTCAGCTGCATGCAAGCCAAGCACCTTACCTGCTGTACTCTTTAGTCCCACATTTTTTTTAAACCGTAAGTTATTTATTAACATAGACTAAAATTTCTAGGGCTGGAGGGCTAGCACAGCAGGTAGGGTATTTGCCTTGCACATGCCTGACCCGGGTTCGATTCCTTTGTCCCTCTCAGAGAGCCCGGCAAGCTACTGAAAGTATCCTGCTTGCAGGTCGGAGCCTGGCAAGCTCCCAGTGTGTATTCAATATGATAAAAACAGTAACAAAAACAGTAACAAGTCTCACAATGGAGAGATTACTGATGCCTGCTTGAGCAAAATGATGAACAAAGGGAGGACAGTGCTACAGGAGAGTGTTACAAAATTTCTAGGCTCACTGTGATATTCAAAGGAATTATTACAGACTAGCTATGCTTGGTCACAAAAATAACTGCAATTAATTATTAGATCACTTGAAAACCAGAAAAGATTCTTCCCCCATGCTGGCAACCTAATCAAGACCCTGGGCTGCTCTCTTTTCACAAACAGATAACAAATTGTGTCTTTACTGGAGTTAATTCCTTTAGAAGAGGCGAACATTTTGGGATAGAAGAGAGTGGAGGAGAGAGTGTCAAAGCATATCAACATGGGGCTGGAGTGACAGCACAGCAGGTAAGGCATTTGTCTTGCATGCGGCCGACCCAGTTCGATTCCCAGAATCCCATATGGTCCTCATAGCACCGCCAGGAGCAATTCCTGAGTGCATGAACCAGGAGTAACCCCTGTGCGTCGCCGGGTATGACCCGAAAAGAAAAAGAAAAGCGCATATCAACATGGGTGGGTCAGAAAGTCAAAAGCACATGACCAAGAGAGATAGGCTCAGAAACTCCCCTCCAGAGGTCTCTAGGTGTGTCACCTCTACACTGAGGGACCCAGGATTTGAGAGGATCAGAGAATGGGAGCAGGAAGGGCCAGGCATGAGAAATACATGCTGATGGTAGAGAAAAGGACTGTGGGGAGCAGAGATCAGTGAAAGGGCTATAGGTAGATTAAACAATTGGACAACCGCTGAACTTAGAACCTAACCATGTACAGAAAAAGGAAGATGCACCTCCTCAATGAGGGAGAAGCACCTGGATACCTTCCTAGTGTTCACATTTGTCTTGGAGTCATCAGCACCCCACACTGTCCTTGAATGATAAATGCAGATGAGGTCAGGATAACCCACCTTCTCCCACTACACCATACATCTAGGGTCAGACTTGTCCGTTTGCTAGATTGTCTTGATTCACATGGCACCCAGGTTCCATAATACCTGCCAGGTCTTTGGGGTTCTCATTGCTACACAAGCTGGGAGTCAACCATGCCTGGTTTGTGAGGGTTGGATGGAGTTGACAGATTACAGCAATCATCTAGGAACTGCTTCCCGGGCATAAACACCTATTCTTTCCACCCACAGGAAGGACAGAATATATCTCCGACAAGGTCTATCACGGATTTTTGCAACCCCACATCTTCTGTCTTCCCAGCCTCAGAACACAGTGCAGTCAGTGATTACATGAAGTCTGTGTAAATCCAGCTCTTTCCCAGCTGTGTACCTCTGAACAACTGAACTTCCTCTGCTCAATTACAAGGGCAGAGCATGCCTTCCACATAGATACAGCCAGGAACAGGCAGAGACAAGAACTCTGAGCTGGGGTACATTTTCAGTCAACCCTCCATAGGCCATAAAGTATGTAAGCCACATTAGGCAGAGGCCAGGGGGATTGTCTGCTGCGACCAGCGGCATCTGCCAGTGGCTGGGGTCTCAGGCCCTCTGCTATCTCTCTTGAACTTAGAAAGTCTGCCTATAACCTACCATGCTCCAAGTTAGGTTACAACGGGTCAGGCAAATAGTCTGAGCTACAAAACATCTGAAGGCAAGGAAGAAGAATGCTTCTTGAGCAGATGGTGTGGGTAGATTCCATGCCTGAATCCTCAGCTCAAGAAGTCACTGTACCAAGGAAGGCCAGCGCCACTGATAATCCACAGCATCAATCCCTTTGCTTTCCATCTCCTTGACCTCACACTGCAGGTAAAGCTCTTAGGCCTCTACAGTATGCCTGCTTCTAAGCTCCTATCATGATACATACAAAACAACAGAAAGCCCAGTTTCTAAGATCAACCTGCAACCATCAATTTTAATAGGATTGGGAAGAAAATTACTTAGCCTATTACAGATAAAGCTAAGGGAAAACTTTGCCAAGTGATGAATCAAGACAAAATACTTGGAAAAACTTTCAATGTGATAAAATTAAGTAAACTACCCAAGAAAGACTTCAAAGTCACAGTCACAAGGAGGGTTCCCTGAAATTAGGAAAACAATGGATGGACCAAAAGAGAACTTAAGAAAGAAAGAAAGAGAGAGAGAGAGAGAGAGAGAGAGAAAGGGAGAGAGGGAGGGAGGGAGGGAGGGAGAGAAGAAGGGAGGGAGGGAGGGAGGGAGAGAGGCAGACAAGAAAGGACCAAACAGAAATAACAGCTTAGAAGATTTTGTATAACTGGGGCTGGAGAGTTAGTACAGCAGGTAGGGTGCTTGTCTACATAAGCCTGACCTGGGCTTAATTCCCGGAATCCCATATGCTTGCTAGAGCAATGCTAGGACTTATTCCTAACCCCTCTCTCCCCAAAACTCCCACCTCCAAACAAAAAAATGCTATAGTAAAACTTAAAAACATCAGAATAAGTGAACCATGAGTGAGGATCGTAAAAAAGCATTCATAACAACCAGCAAAACAAAAACGATTCATAAAAACAAGATACTGGCATTGGAGCAATAGCACAGTGGGTCGGGTGCCTGCCTTGCACATGGCTAATTTGGCTTTGATCACTGGTATCCTATTAGATCCGCTGAACCCACTAGGAATGATCCCAGTGTGCAGAGCCAGGAATAAGCTCTGGGCACAGCCTGGGGATACAAGCCACTGTAGCACTGTAGCACTGTCCTCCCATTTTCATCGATTTGCTCAAGCGGGCCCAGTAACATCTCCATTGTGAGACTTCTTGTTACTGTTTTTGGCATATTGAATATGTCACAGGGGAGCTTGCCACGCTTTGCTGTGCAAGGGAGATACTCTCAGTAGCTTGCCGGGCTCTCCGAGAGGGGTGGAGGAATCGAACCTGGGTCACTAGGCCAGCTGCATGCAAGGCAAATGCCCTACCGCTGTGCTATCGCTCCAGCCCATACAAGCCAAGATCGCATAAAAGGAAATCCTGTGAGACAAGCAGCAGAAACTCTACAGGCCATAGAACTGAAAGTTCTGAATGAAAGAAAGATCTCCAATCAAGATTACGCTCCTCAGTCAGCTTATTTCTCAGGGTTGAAGGGGTGATTAAAAAAAGAACTTTAGGGGTGGGGGAGGCCCATTTCTGCATTAAATGGGCTTAACAAGTCTACCCCAGAGGGGAAAAAAAAGTAAGATTTCTTCTATTTCCAATTACTCTCAATGTGAAGAATTCCATTTTTTTGTTTTGTAAGTTTTGGGTCACACCCACCGGTACTCAAGGCTTACTCATGGCTCTGCTTTCAAGTATGCTAAAGTGGACCATATGGGATAACATAAAACCCAGGTTGGCCACGTGCAAGGCAAGTGTTCTACCCACTCTGGCCCCTGAAGAACTCTACTCTTGCTTAAATTTATATAAAAGGTTCATAATAAAAGAACTTTTTATATAAAAAGTTCACAATGTTTAAAAAAAAAGGTATCATGAACTATTTGCAGAATTTTGGACTTGAAGAGATAACGGTTCATTAGTTACCCAAAAAAAAAAAAAACCCAACAAAATAAACAGGGTGATTTGAGAGATGCTATCAGATACACACAATAAAAAAAGTTACCTTGTCCATTTTCCTGAGGCTTATTTTTCTTCCAAAATTCAGATTCACGCTCAAGTTCTTCTAATTTAAAGGAAAAAAATAAATATAAAAATGAAGCAATCACAAAATCTTTAGTAGAACATTGATTTCATAAAACTCAAAAATCTGCAAGAAGTCGGAGAACAACTTACGTTCTCGTAGTCCAGGAACCAGTTTAAATATAATTTCCTCTAATGTATTATCCAGTCTTCCAAATATGAAAAAAAGAAAATTTATATTAACAATAAAGACATGAAAATCCAATATGTAAACAGTTTGTGATACTCATCTAGTATAAATTACAAAATACAGAACATACATATTTTAACACATCTACTGTACCAAACTCTTTTGCACATGGAACTCTTGTTTCTAGCCTTTTCCACAGTGGGAGATTGGTTACAAAACGGGTCTCCTCTAAAAACGACTTTGAAATTCCTGCAATGATTAACAGATTGAGTATATTTCCCCACCCAGGAATACAAGCTGGCTCTGAGATGTACTTTAGACCAATAGAATGTGGCACAAATAAGACAAAGTACTTAGTTCTGAACCTCCGACTTCATAGGCAACACATGCTTACTTGTTCTTTCTAGATAGAATACTGCCAATGTGAGAACAAGTTTGAAGAATGACTTATATCCTGCAGTGGCAAGCTAAGCTGCTTTCCTGAGGTCATTTTAGACAAGTTCATTGACATTTTAGCATTCCATGTCTGATAGAAACAGCAGCGGTCTATCTGACCAGCAGTTAGCTTAAAACCAGCCAAGACCAGAAGAATCACCTAGACTTGTGAACCATAAATAAGACCCTGAGGAAAGCTGTATACTTTTCTGACCTCAGAAAATTTCAGAAGGAAATTATATTAAAAAAAAATAAATAAAATCAAATAAATGTTAATAACTGACATTTCTTTTTCCTTTTTTTTCCCTTTTTTGGGTCACACCCAGCGATGCATAAGGGTTACTCCTGGTTCATGCACTCAGGAATTACTCCTGGCTGTGCTTGGGGAACCATATGGGATACTGGGAATCGAACCCAGGTCAGGCCGAGTGCAAAGCAAACGCCCTACCCGCTGTGCTATCCCTCCAGCCCCAATAACCGACATTTCTAGGTAAAGAAAATAACAAGTGTTCTTTGCTTTTGAGGGGAATGGCACCATTTTGTTAGTAAGTTTTAAGCTAAAAGGAAGTTTATTTTCTGAACTATTTGTATCTGGGTATCCATTTTAGGTTCATTATTTGTGGATGGGGATGAGAATGCGAGAGTGCTATCCTACGTATTGAAGAATTCTCAAGGGCATTTAGTATTCCCAGTCTTCTAGCAGCCAGCAAGACCACCCAATTCTGACAACCAGTACCATTACCAGACATTGCTAAATGTAAACTGTGTATGATCACTGATATAAATCCAACTATTAAAGCTTTGCTCAAGACTACAACCCATAGTAGACCAATGGCCTTCAAATGTTAGCCATTGTCATAACTGAAGGACTAGAAATCAAGATGGGTTTCACTCTTTAGAGTTTCGATTTTGGCAGGTCTGAAAACCATCATTTTGGGACCACACATTAAAAAAGGGCTGGAGCAATAGCACAGCAGGTAGGGCGTTCGCCTTACAAGCGGCCAACATGGCTGCCCCGAGTTCGATTCCTCCGCCCCTCTCGGAGAGCCTGGCAAGCTACCGAGAGTATTCGATATGCCAGACACAGTAACAACAAAGTCTCCAATGGAGACGTTACTGGGCCCTCCCGAGCAAATCGACGAACAACGGGAGGGCCTTTACCTTTACCTTTTACATTAAAAATCACTAGATCAGACAAATTTACCTGTAGACAAATTAATCCAGCTTTACAGATTAGATAACAGTCTGCATCACACATATTGATGCACCTTTTGGGTGTTGTGTCAAAACCCATTTTCAACTGAGAAATTTTTATGTGACCCTAGGGAGAGAGGTATATAAAATAAGTCACTGTCACTGTTCTCCCATTGTTCATCGATTTACTCGAGCGGGCCCAGTAACATTGTGAGACTTGTTGTTACTGTGTTTGGCATATCGAACATGTCACCGGTAGCCTGCCAGGCTTTGCTGTGTGTGCAAGATACTCTCGGTAGGTTGCTGGGCTCTCCGAGAAGGGTGAAGGAATTGAAATAAGTACATAAGTAAAAAAAAATATTGATAATTAATAATAAATCTTAAAACAACCTCAGCATTAATATATACAGGGCTGCATTCCATAGTTTGAGAAGCTAGGTTCTAGAGAATACTTATACTACAGTAAATAGTTCCCTAAAATCACAGTTAACCTGTGGCAGAGCTGTGGTAGGAACTGTGGGAAATAAGGGGGTTTAGAAAAAGGTCAGAGGGGAAAAAGAAGGACATTGGTCTGCAGGTAGGAAGTGATATCTGAGTTTGCTGAGATACTGAACATGCCATTTATATAAACCTCTGTTTTATAATTTGGAAAAAAATTGAAATAGGATCTTATAAACCACTTCTAGCTAGAAAAATACATGGTTATACTTAAGTAAATACTAGTTATTAAAAAAAATTAAGGACCAGGAATAAGACTGAGTAGTATAGTGTATGTCTTGCATGAGCTAAATCAAATCAGGACGTTGTTTGACATTAAGTTTTATATGAGCACTTATACAACCTTTAAAAAATATGACATATATTTTGAAATGAATAATACCAATATTAGTTTCCATGACTATTAAATCTACCCTCTTTTCACTACTACGTAGCTCAAAAAATTATGTATAATAAAAGGTAAAGGTAAAGGCCCTCCCATTGATCATCGATTTGCTCGAGCGGGCCCAGTAACGTCTCCATTGGAGACTTTGTTGTTACTGTGTCTGGCATATCGAATACGTCACGGGGAGCTTGCCAGGCTCTGCCGTGCGGGCGAGATACTCTTGGTAGCTTGCCGGGCTCTCCGAGAGGGGCGGAGGAATCGAACTCGGGTCGGCAATGTTGGCTGCTTGCCAGGCAAATGCCCTACCCGCTGTGCTATCGCTTAGGAAATAACTAAACCTGTGAGTCTGAGATATAGTTATAATTTTTGTTTGAAAATGTATTTCTTAAATATTTAATATGTATAGCTTTCAGTTACTCTTAATAAAATACTATTAAAAGAAATAAAATGCTTTTTATGAAAATAAAAAGTGCATGGGACCTGGGGCTGATATCTTGGCTGAGATCTCCAAGCCTGCTTGGATTGGGATTGGGCCTTCTCCACCCAGATCCCCCATCTTCCAGTAGCTAGGCAGTTACACCCACCAACTGCTCCCCTCCCCGCCTCCCACCGCCGCCACATAATCCCATCAATGTCCAAGATCCAGTGACTAAAACCAAGTTCCCGAGAATGCAGCCGTGCGACCTCTTATTGGGTAGTTCTTGCTCTCAGAGAACCCAGCATGCTACCAAGAGTATCCTCCCCGCATGGCAGAGCCTGGCAAGCACCCCGTAGCGTATTCAATATGCCCAAACCCAGTAACAATGATGGGTCTCATTCCCCTGACCCTGAAAGAGCTGCCAATGTGGCACTTGCTAAAAAAATCTCAGGTCTAGGACGAATGGTGACGTTACTGGTGCCTACTCAAGGAAATCGTTGAACAACGGAATGACAGTGATACATTGACAGTGATATGAAAATTACAAATCTCATAAGAATCTATATTAACTGAGTCAAGATACAAGAACTATGTTATGCAATAAAAATTAAGAATCTACATAATTTACTTAAATACATTTACTTACCTCAACATTTCTAATGGGTTTGTCTCATGAACTTGATTGCCACACCTTGGACAATCATTACTATCTTCAAAGTGCTGGACAATGCAAGTCTTACAGACTAAAAAAAAAATACATTAGATTAAAATGCACCATTTAAACTATCATTTCACTTAAAATGATATGTAATTAGAAACAGTCTTTTAAAAGATTCTAGTATAAGTTCACTTGTCTTCAATCACATTTTATAAAAATCTTAAAACTGTTATATAAAAAAACCCACCTTATGTAAGAACTACTGTTATAATTTTAAAATTGTATATGTTTTACATATTGTTTTTATTTAAAATATTTACAAGCCAATTAATGTATTAGTATTACTAATAAAAATTTTGGTAAATTAGCATCAAATGGAGTTTTCTTATTTAAAGACCTAAAAAAAATAAAGGCAAAAACCGTTGTCTGCATTTACTCTTTCACTGAAATTTTAGTTGAATACAACATAAAAAGTACCTTAAGAAAGTTAAGGGGTTTCCATATTCTTGTATTAATTTGACTGGCATTGCATTCCTTAGAAAAACAGGAAATATTAATGGAGCTTCTGGTCTTTGCTAAGTATGAGTGCTAAGAGGTACCATAACTGCATGTAATACAAGGTATGAGCAAGTGGCATCAAACTGACTTAAGGGGTGAGAGGTTAACTGGAAGAAGGACTGAGAAAATCACAGTTAACTGTCATTTTGAGATGACTAGGGGAAGAAGCCTCCCGAGCTCTCCTCAGGAAGACTAGGGCTCCTCCTAGCAATTCTGCGAACTGGGCTGATAGTCCAGTGTAAGGGGGTCAGAGGGTACTGTGAGGCTTAGGCCCTGCAATGCCAGGTTAATGACCCAGGCCACCTGGTGGTGCTCGAGGGTCTTCAAGGTGCTTATGAGTGGTGCTTATGAGCCTCCAGGGCTGCACCTAGGGATGCCTGGGGGGTATGTGGTGAACTGAACTAGGGTTAGCAACATGCATGATCCTGTACTATTTTTCTGGCTTAGATTAAATTTTATAAATGAAAATATAATTTTTGGATGTAGGCTAAAAACTGATAGAGTCCACACTTTCTCCACCCTTTTCCCATCTATTACCTACTTACTAGGCCAACTGTTTTGTCTAGATATCTCATACATTTATAGCAGTGGAACTACTATTTTGAATCCAATTCTCTATCCAGATACTCCTCTACTCCATTTTATTACTCTTTATAAACTAAGACATTCACATCGCACAGTGCTCTCATTCCACCTTGATAACTTCATTACAAACTACTTTATGTCTCTTATGCCTCTTCCTTATGCCTCATGTGATCTAAAAGGGGAAAACAAAGTGCATCTAAATGATTAACCAAGAGTAAATACTGGGAATATCAAACTGTGGGTGAAACAGCAGAATAAACACTGCAAGCAAAGCTCCCTGCTAAAGTACAACCAGAAATCAACTATATATCCTCATGTACTCATAGCCTGGCTTGTTTAAAAGACACATGCATCAAAGGAATTAAATTGTAGGGGCAGTGTGTATTGGGGGGGCATGTTCAGGGGAGTGATCTCTAAGCAGCACAGTGCACCCCAACCTTGATTACTGCAAGTGGTCTACCTGGCAGAGTGAAGCACAAGATTCCAGAAATAACGTTCACCTTTAGATCAGAGGTGACATATCAAGCTCTGGGACAAAAACAAATCCCCATTTGTTGTTTCAGGCTAGCAGTAGTTTGGATGGCTGAGTCTCTGGTCCCCCTTTAAAGGGGGACGGTGTAGCCATATAGTTATGGCCCAGAGACAGAGCCTAGGCGGCAGACAGCTGTCAGGAACCAGGACAGCATGGAGCTTTCTTTAGGCTATATTCAACCCCTTCACCCTCACTCCCTCTGGCAACACTGTGATAAAACCAGTGAGGATTATTATCTTCTTATAGCCCTTCCTCCACCTGCCACAGTTACAAAAACAAAGAACTACAATGCCACCAGCAGGGGAGAATGAAAGATGCTCCCCAGATTCTTTAAAAACAAAAACAAAAAAGCAGGTAACTGTTGCAAAAATAAGATGAAATTTCTCATAGAAAATGACAAGTCTCCAAAGGACAAACGTATAGAATTGAGGAAGGTAACAACTGAGAACAAATATCATTAAAAAAAAAAAAAAGACAATACAAAGAATCTCAACTAAACACAGAAGCAGCAAGTCTAATGTATCAGAAAGGAGCCACAAGAATACAAAGCATCACCATAGAGACCAAAGAAACTACAGAATTCCAGAGATGCTGAGTATGTAGAGTCTACTGATTGAAATTTAATCTTAATACAGAAAGCATAACAACTCTCACCAAAGAAAAAACAGAATGTACAATCACAAACTGTATGGGAGAATGGAACAAGGTATAGGAAAATAAAGAAAACGAGAGATACCAGCATACATTTAAAAGGGTAAAAACACCAGACAAGTACAAGCAAGTGGTGAGAAAGAAAAGGGAGCAGCCAATAATCAAGGAAATAATACTGAGAACTTCCCAAACCTACAGAACAAACCAACCAAAGATATCCAGGAACCTGAGGTAACACCCAGGCTTTTAATTCAAACCGCCTACACTGAGACATATCATTTGTTGAACTACCAAAAGTCAATGACAAATAATATTGAAAACTATTAGGGAAAAGAAAAATCTGTAGCATACAAATGGAACTCCACCAAGCTTTCATCAGACTTAAAGGTCACAAGAGAGTGAAATGACATATTCACACTACAAGATCTTAGACCAAAAATCTTGCTGGGGAGATAGCTCAGTGGGCTTGAGCGCATAGTTTGCATACCAGCATTCCAGGTTGATCCCTGGCACGTCATGGCCCCCTGATTATTTAACTGGAAGTGACCTCTGAGTTCGAACAGGTGTGACTAAACCACCCCCCACCCCAAACATAAAAATACCAGCCAAGAAGAATTTACCCAGCAAAATTATTATTTTCAAACAGAAGCTAAGAATAGCTTATAATCATGAGGCCTATTCAACAAGTCAAATGATGAGCCAATACAAGGGAAAAATAGGCTTTAGTAGGCATAGAAAATGATACAAACTTCCAGGAAAAAAGTGAAGAAAATAAATCACTAAGATATTACATGCATCTATAAAAAGAAATAGACACAAAAATGGGGAGAAGAACCAAGAGGATGATACAAAAAGTGAATGGAAACCAAGAGCTGGTTCTTTGAGTTACTTAAGACTGACAGCCCTCTTGAGCAATCATGTTCACCAGGAAAAAAAAAAAAACTAGAAGAAATAGAATGCTTGATTAATCACAAGTCCAGAAATTTCAGCAGCAATTAAAAGCCTTCCCAGAACCAGATGACTTCACTGGTGAATGCTAGAAAACATTCAAAGAATTCATCCTACTCAATCTCTTTAAAGTCATTCCATGAGACAAATAATAACTCTAATTTCCAAGTCAGAAAGGGACTAAAAAAAATAAAAAAGGAAAGAAAACCAGAAAATTATATGCCAATATCTCATATAAACCAAAACACAAAAAGCTCAACAAAATCTTGACAAATCCAATCCAACAACATGTCAAGAGATTCATTCATTATGACGAAACAGAAATCATTCTAGACATGTAAGGACAGTTTAATACAGACAATTCATTTAATTCAATGCACCACCTCAACAGAAAGAAAAATTTACAGGATTGTATTAGTTGGTAGTGAAAAATCCTTTATGAAAAATCCTTTTACAAGGTTCAACTTGTTTATGATAAAAATGTTCAATCTATTAAAACTAGAAGGAGCATATCATAACATAATAAATGCTGTAAGTGACACAACCAAATATTCAATTGTGAAAAAACAAAAGCTTTTTCCTTAATATGTGGAAGAGGACAAAGATACTGATTCTCACCAGTGCTCTTCAACATAATTTTTTATGGGTCTTAGTTAGTGAGCAATTAGGCAAGAAAAAGACATAAAGGAATTCAAACTGGAAAAGAATAGAACCATCACTGTTTGTGAATGACATGGGGTATACAGAAATGCACACAGCCCTAAAAACTCCTCTAGAAAACTACAAGAGATAAGTTCACAATAAAGTGGCAGTCAAAAAAAAAATCAATATACATCAATCTGATGCAGTGAGTTGTAGAAAAGGAAAATTAAAAAAAAATTCCTTTTACAACAGCATGAAAAATATGGAGTAAAGCTAACAAAAGAGATTAAAGATCTACACATGAGCAATAGCACTTTACTAAAAGAAATATAAAATGACACAAAGAAATGCAAAGGCATCTCAGGCTCATGTACTGGAATACTGAACACTGGCTAAATGGTCACCATTTTTTTTTTTAGATTTTTATTAGTGAAACACCATGAGGTACAGTTGTAGATTTACAAATTTTTTGTGCTTGGGTTTCAGTTATACACTAAAGCAACTGGGCAATGCAATCCCTATCAAAAATTCAACGGCATTTTTCAAGTAAAGTAAAGGTAAAGGCCCTCCCGTTGATCATCGATTTGCTCGAGCAGGCCCAGTAACGTCTCCATTGGAGACTTTGTTGTTACTGTGTCTGGCATATCGAATACTCTCGGTAGCTTGCCGGGCTCTCCGAGAGGGGCGGAGGAATCGAACTCGGGTCGGCCATGTTGGCTGCGTGCGAGGCAAACGCCCTAAAAAAATTTATTATAGTTAAGGGAATATGTTGACAATGATGGTGTCATTTATGTCTAGGTGTACACAGTTACCTCACCACCACCAAAGTGTTCAAGACCCCTCCACCCAAGCCTAGGTATCTAATTTAAAAATAATTAGTATGTAAGTGAATAGCATTTTTGTACTTCCTTATTTTTTTCTTACTGGCCAAACAGACATTTGCTGAAAAGTCAGGTAATGTACAAGTAGGTGGTGCAGGGTAGGGGGGAACAAAAAATATCTTTATCCGTACGGAACTTAGACCTTAGACTGGGGAAGGCAAAGAATTTTAGTAGTGAGTGATATTTACAGAAGAAGTAAAAAGTTAGTGGCAACTGACAGCTATCTTAATGACTGGTTGAGGAGGAATTCCATCCTCAGTCTTCACCATTACACACAGCTGCATAAAA